AGGGAAACCCCCTGCCCCCCTCTGTTTCTCCTGCTGAGTTGAGAAAGGTCCCACCACCCTCTGCCCCTTCCATCCCTCTGCAGCTCCAAACCCTTTACCTCTTAGGCCCAGCTGGGCACAGCCCTGCTTGAGGACAGCATCGTGAGTTTTCTTGCCCTTTCAGTCTATTTGGAATGAACACATAACCTGTCCAGCGTCTGACATGGATAACTCATACTGACAGTCTCCCTGGCACGGTGGGGTGGAAAGAGCACTGCACTCTGAGTCCCCACCCCCTGTACTAGCTGTGTGGCCTTGGGTAAATTACCTAACCTCTCTGAGTCAAAATAATCTCTGGATAATAGGGATATTAACACCTGCTTCAAAAGGTGGATGTAAAGATGAAAGGAGTTAACACAGATGAAAGTACTTAGTATTGTGTGAAAAGCTGTATCTTATGGAAAAACCCAAATGAATTTTTTGGCCGACCCAATATATATGCCATGGAATATCAATGCAATTAATAATAATCATTATTTTTTTAGCAGTAATAGTAGCAGAATCTCACTCCAGAAACCTTAAGCTTCAGCTTGTAAATCTCTGGAGAGCAATCCATCCTTAGAAGAAAGTAACAGCACTTATGCAGTGAGGCGCAAATGACTGACTTTAAAACTCAAAGCTGATTTCTGGAATTTGGCTGTCTGTGAGATCTGCTTCCGTGTACCTGAGGGGCTGTGGTAGGCCTGCAGTGTGTCTGGGCAGTTTCTCTCTGCAGGTGGGTGACCCTGTGACTTACTGGGTCTCCTCAGAGGGCCTGGGGAGTTGGGGAGTTCGGGGTTTAGGCTGCACCTTGTATGTGGGACCAGGGGCTTCCATAAGCTTATGCCTCACCTTTGGGTACCTCAGAGCCCCCCTGTATGTGGGGAAGTGCTTAACGGGAACCAGAGACCCAGTGGCTCCCCGAGAACCCTCCAGGGTCATGAGTCTGAGACTTGGGTGGGCATCACCACAACCTCTCGGAGACTTTTCCCTTAGATGAAAAAACAGGAATGTCCTGGCCCCGCTGCAAGGTGTCGGATGTTATTAAAGAGCCTGGCCCAGAGCCTGACATGTAGCAGCAGCTCAGGAAACACCTTCTGAACCTGGATCTTTCCATGAATGAAGCCAAATGCTGGGCCTTCCTGCCCATCTGCGTTGGGTGGGTTAGGTAGTCTTGTCTGAGGTCAGGGGAGTGATTCTGCTGAGTTGAAAAGCAGGATTTACCAGCCGGTGTTGCAGCCCCCGGGGTTGTGAAGTGCACCTGAGTTCCTGCACTTAGGAGTCACTCATAAAACAGAAGGCGTGACCCCCACTGGCCTTTCCTCGGCCTGACCTACCACCTTCTCTCTGCCTGGATGGCACATGTCCTCTGGAATTGACCTGTGGATTGTACCTGAGGAATTTTTGCTTTTGACTGATTTTGGTGTTGTTGGCGATTTGGTTGGTGATGTCTCAGTGTCACCTTCGTCACTCTGGTTTTGATCGTTATCTGACTCTTCCCTCATGGAGACTTCTGAGCCTGGGAGAAAAGAAGGGAACAATCTGATGTTTCTCAAATCGTCAATGACTTTTAAATGTGGGTCTAGAATTTAATGAAGCAAACGGAGTAGGTTTGGCATATACCTGTTGAGGACAGTTTAACAGCTTCATTTGCCACGGGGCCCCGTCTGACCTTTTACTTGCTGATGGGCCTGTCAATCTCCAAGGTGGCTTTTGCTCTGCCAGGATGCCTCAAACCTTAATGGGCACACCTGGGGATCTTGTTAGAATACAGATTCTGGTTCAGAAGTCTGGGGTGGGGCCCGGGAGGGGTGATGCCTACGAGGCTGGTCCACGGACCACACTTTGAGTAACAAGGTACTACCCCACTCCCCGCTTTTTTGGTGTGTGTGTGAAGCATCTTAGTTAGGGTGACCGTCTAGGATATAAAATCCTGCTTTATACCTCTCGTCCCATGCACCCGGTCACTATCAAAAGTGTCCTGGTTTGGACAGTCCCCCTAAATCTTGGGAGACTCATGGTTTACACACTTCGGGAAAAGCAGGTGAATTATATCAAAAGTCCAGCTCTGGCATGGTGAGATCTTGGTCGAAAACACTTTACCTCTCTGGTCCTCAGTTTCCCCAACTAGAAAGTAAGTGGAGTTACACCTGACCTTTGTGAGAAGCCAAAGAAAGCTATAGGTCTCCTCTTTAGAAAAGAATGTCCATATGTGTGCATGCACAAACACACACACACACAAACTCTGGTGCACAGTTAGAGAGGTTCAGGGTCACCTGGATCACTGGTCAAGGAGCCCAGTATGAGGGGCTTCCCTGGTGGCACAGTGGTTAAAAATCCACCTGCCAATGCAAGGGACATGGGTTTGATCCCTGGTCCGGGAAGATCCTACATGCCGCGGAGCAACTAAGCCTGTGCACCACAACTACTGAGCCTGCGCTCTAGATCCCGCGAGCCACAACTACTGAGCCTGTGCCTTAGAGCCTGCAAGCCACAACTACTGAGCCCGCATGCCACAACTACTGAAGCCCGCACACCTAGAGCCCGTGCTCCTCAACAAGAGAAGCCATGACAATGAGAAGCCCGTGCACTGCAATGAAGAGTAGACCCTGCTTGCCGCAACTGGAGAAAGCCCAAGTGCAGCAACGAAGACCCAACGCAGCCAAAAAATCAATCAATAAAATAAATAAATATTTTAAAAAATTTTAAAAAAAAGAAAAAAGAAGCCTGGTATGAGATGACTTCTCAGGACTGTCTCGCATCACATTTTATCAGGCGTCAGGCCTGGACTCACGGCAGGTTGTGGCAGATGGAGTTCTGTGCCCCTTGACGTTGCCCTGCCAGGGATTCCGTCCTTCGCTCCTGCGGGACGGCATCTGGGGCTCTCTGGTCGGCTGTTACATTGGTTACTGACTTTTGGCTGCGCGTGTCCCCTATTTACTGTATGCGCCACAGTAAATGTCACTTGGTACCGGAAGCTCCTGGGGGGTTTACCCCTCCCCGGCTTTGCCATCTGCCGGTCGTCCTGCTGACTTCCCTCTTCTCAACTCAGAGGACAGAACTTCCGACCATCTTAAAATTTTTTTCAAAGGCCTCCTCCTCAAAGGCTGGGGCTTCCATCCAGCCCAGGGTTGTGTGTTCGTGTGTGTACACACATGTGTGTATGTATGTATGCACGTGTGTTCTAACCAAGACAAGGCTGGTGTCACCCAGGATGTGGGCTGACCCAACCTAAGACACAGCCAGACAATCCTCCCAACAAATGCCCTTCTAGAATGGTTGGGCTTCTGAGAGCAGGGAGGGCCCAGCCTGCCCGGCATCACCTCCGGCCAGTGCCCCACACCCAGTGTTCCAGGTGTGCTGAGTTTCATGGTGTTGCCTGAACACACAATGCTTTTCCTTGCTTCTCAGTCTTGCCCACTCCATTCCCTTTGTCTAGAATGTTCTCCCTTCCTCCTGGTGACAAATCTAGATCTAATAGGTCCTCCAGGAAGCCTTCTCAGACTCTCCCGACGGCGTCCCCACTCCATGCTCGGGGTCCCTCAAGTGCCCCTCTAACACCACACGCATCAGATGCCCATGTTTCCGTGTCTGGTCCTGTTCCTCAGCCACACTGCGAACCCCGGGCTGCAGGAGCCCCATCTGATGCCCTCTTCTCTCCTAGGCCCTGACTGGGGCCTGACCCAGGACACGACCACTGCAAAAATAGACAGATACAAGGATGCAAGAGAAAGCTGTCATCAGGGCAGCGGGAGGGACACTCATCCCACTTCCTGGGCATCTCTGCCTGCCTCTCCCCCGCCCAGGCTCTGCACTGCCACCACCATCTGGCCAGGACCCCCCAGCCTCCCGGTGGGGCTGGGCCGGCCTCAGTGGGCCCATGAGCAAGGGGCAGCTTGGCCCTCGCATCCACTCACTCTGCTTGCTGGGAGCTGAGGATTCTTCAGGCTTCTCAGTGCTCATATTGCCCTCATCTGGAATCTTGCTGGCGAAGCTGCTGGACACGTACAGCTTGCTGGTGTCCAGCGTGGCCTTGCTGAAGGGCGACATGGCCGAGTACATGCTGGTGTAGCCGTTGGAGTTGCAGCTGAGGGCGGCCAGGTCCAGGGCCTTGCCGCCCGTGATGATGGGGATGTTTAGGGAGAGCTTCCGCCGGCGGCTCGGGGATGACGTCTTGGTGATGGACAGGGGTGGGGGTGAGGAGAACTTGCGGGTGGCGCGTGGCGACTTGGGGGGGTCGCCGTACAGGAGCTTGTTGTTCTGGCCACTGGCGAACAAGAGCTCCAATGACCTGGGGGGAGGGCCAGGGAGGGGATGAAAACAAACGGTCAGTGTAGGCCTGGCTGCCAGCCCAGGCCTGGGGGTCCCCTGTCTCCTGGGGGGCTCAGCGGGGCAGCAATGGCTCCCTCATCCTCATGCTCCCTGACCGCTGGGCTGGTCCTCTGAGTGGGCAGGTTTGAGAGGAGGCCACGCCAAAGGGGCCGGGTAGTTCAATGGTCTGTGGCCAGGTGTCTATAGGCCCAAGTGTCCTGTTCCGGGAGGGGGACAGGGACTTTGGTGGCACGGTAGGTCTGCCTAATGCTCCCTCTTTGTATCCCTCTGGTCAGCAGCAGCAGCTGACCCGTGATGCTGTGGGTCTTCCTGACCTGCCGGCTTCTGAGAAACCTCTCTCTGTCCCCCGCACGGGCTCGGTGTCACCAGCACCTCTGAGTCCTCCTCACCCAGGTCCAGAGAGTTAATGGATGAAGCTGAGACTCAGAGATGGGAAATGACTCATTTGATGCCTCCTGATTCTAAACCCAGTGTCCTTTCCACCCCACCTGGGCGCTTGATCAGCCTCAGGTGTAAACTTGGGGGGCGGGAGGCTCCCAGCAGCCCTGGCCACGCTCCTACCGTCTGCAGGCAGGGCCCACAGCTCAGGGCCAGGTTGGGAACAGGTGATACATACATGATAACACAAACAGCAGCTCGTGTGCATGGAATGTATTCAGCATGGGACAGACCTCATCTCTTAATCCTCACGGTTGCCCCAGGGGGAAGGTGCTCATATTCCCATTTCACAGACAGGAAACAGGCTCAGAGAGGTGAAGGGGTTTGGTCAAGGCGGTAGGGCTGAGGGCTGGGATCTGAACCTGCCTCTTCCCACTACAGGCTCTGCCTGCTGGGTGGAATCCCAGGGGGTTCCCAGGTTCTGGGAGGCGGGGCGGGTGACCTGCTGGATCCCTCAGGAATGACCTGGATTGCTTTTCAGGCGTGACTCCATCCTGGATGGGGCAGTTTTTCCTGCTCTCTCAGAGCCCTGGGAAGCTGGGTGCTGAGATTTAGCAGGTGAACTGCAGCACTGGGGGGGAGGGGGACAGGGAGGGGCGGG